GCAAGCATGATCCGGCAAACTAGTTTTTTTAGTTTGTTCAAGTGGGACCACCGCCAAACGATGATACCACAAGCAAAAACTCCATAGTTTTTGAGAGATTTTTGATTTTTTACTGAAAATTTTTCAAATTGTATTGTATTTCAAATATTGTTGTCAAGTTGTTGTTGTTTCAAAGTTTACTTATAATTGAATTTTTTTTTTGGTTGTTGAAACAAAAAACCAATTTCATTTTGTTTTTTCAAAAGTTTTTGTCGTTTTTTTTATTCCTCGATTCTATTTCCTCAACAACAACAAAACTTGAAAAAAATATTGAATTGACAGTGTGAATTTTGAAAAAGAAATGCAGATGTTTCAGCATGAGAAAAACACCAACACTAACAATAACAACGAAAATTGTAATTGACTCTTGGCCATCATCGGTATACAGTGTAGAGTGATCAGAATCTGAAATTCAAGAATTTTATGGGAAAAAAAAGAAAGAATAACAAAATGAAACAGGAAATAAATGTTTCACCAAGAATTTGTGGTTTTTCGTTTCTATTTAAAAATTGAAATTAAAAATTTTTATAAAAATAAAACGTTTGCTGTTCGACGCAGAACTTGATTGCAATCAAAAAAAGTAATACTTTACTCCGGTAATTCCCCTTGTATAATGTTGTTTGTTTGTTTGTTATTGTTTGATGAATTCATAATATTCATTCCATTAAAAGTTTTACTTGTTTTGTCTAGGATTCCAAAACTAATTTATGACTTACAACCACATCGAATACACACCTACATCGAATTTGCATAAAGTTTATGACCAGAATTTGTATTTTTATTTTTATTTTTATTATTAAATGAAATGATGATGATGTTTTCTTGCAAACCAAACCAAAAAAAATAATCATCATCATAAAAACTGCTAAAAACTGCTTTTTTAAGGATGATGATGATAATGGTGTAGGAAACAGAAAATTAATCTGACCATGAAAAAGAAAAACTTTGTTGTTTGGTTCGGTTGGTATCATTTTGATTACTATTTTTTTTTTTTTTTGGTTCAGATTTGTGTAAAGTTATGACGGCGAAGGGAAAATTTGAAATGTTAAAATGGAAAACCCACAAAAAAAAGCACTTGATGTTGTTTGAATGTAGAAAACAAAAAATTTCCATTTTAATTATCATCATCATTCGGAATTCGGAATCTAGGATTGAGAATAAAGTAATTGAACCAACCAAAAATGAAAGATAAAAAAATAATTTGAAAATGTTAAGAATGTTAATCCATCCGATAAATCATACAGAAATTTTTGGAGATCAAAAGATTTATTTTATCATTTTTTTTTTGTTTTTGTTTTTGAAATTTGAATCCTGGAACCAAAATTCATTCGAAACGTATAATTATGTCGTTTTGTTTGATGATGATGATGATTATATCGTTGGAAAATGTAATGAAAATGAAAATATAAATTCAAAATGAAACCCAAAAAACACAGTAATACATTATTGATATTCATATGGAATCATTTTTTTTTTTTTTTTGGTGAACAGAATAAGCTTAAAGAAGAGAATCACTGAATAATTCAAGATAGTCATTATTTTTTTTCTCCATAACCCTATGTTCCATCTTTGGGTATAAAGTTTTTTTTTATTGTTAACCATTTGGCACACACACACATGGAAGATATGAAAAAATAATGATTTCATTCATTAATTTCTGTATATATGGAATAACTAATTAACAAACTGTAATCCAATGAATGAATCCAAAATTATTTGATCATCCGAAAAAACAAAATTACTATATTATTTTGTTGAATGAAAAAAACAAAATGAGCGCTGGTGTGTGTAGTAATAAAAACAAATTAATAAAAAAATTATCATCAATATCATCATCATCATCAGTATGTATTTATCATATTAAAAATGAAAAATGATATCATTTATAAATTGTTATGTGAAAAAATGAATGTAGTTCTTGTTACTGAATGCAAAGAATTTTTCATCATCATCAACATTGTCATCATATGATGATGATGATGAAAATGGAAAACAAAAACAACAGACATTGTGACAACAGACAATCTTAATCAACAACAATCCCGAACTCGGACAAAAAACAAGAAAAATTAATCCCAATATTGAATGTACTATTGGTTTTTTTTCATTGTTTTGGTCATCTTTCATTCATTCATTTCATTCATTCGTTCATTCGATTGAAATGCTAAAAATAGATGATGGTCAATACACAACATTGCCATAATGATATGATAAGAAATGACATTTTTTGTTTTGTTTTGTTTTTTTGGCTATAAATTCAAAACAATCTTAAAATATTAATTTTCCAGAATGGATTTGATTCTGATTTTTTTTCTCTGTTTGACCCGAACAAAAAATTCCATTTTTCATCTATTTTCTTTTGGAAAATTATCTTCATTACAATGTTTGTTTTTTCAGAAAAATTTTATTCGCTTGACAATCCTTATCGTTATTTGAAAAAAAAATATTTATTCAACCGAAAATCCATTGCCTAGTCTAGTTTGTATATACCGGTCTAATCTATGGTTTAGTTTGAAAATTTTTTTCCATATTTTTTCTGTTTGCTGTTATCAAATTCATGAATTTTATCTTTTCAATTTTGGTCACCAAAACAAATCCCTGTTGAATTCGAAAACAAAGTAAAAAAAAGGATTGAAAATCCCAAGGAAATTTTTTTAAAAATAAATTTTAATTTATTTTTTGGTTTTGTTTATTTAGGAAAGCAAAAAATTCATTAATTTTTTTAATCTTTTGTTTTTGTTTTTTTTTTCTTCATTAGATTTGTTCATATGTTGTACATAAACGTTGTCATGAATTTGTTGCATTCAAATGTCCCGGTGTTGATAAAGGTCTTTTAAGTGGACAACAACAACAACATCAACAACAACGACGATCCGGTCAACATCATCAAGATGGTGATCGTACTAGACATCAATTTCAAGTACATACATATACATCACCAACATTTTGTGATCATTGTGGATCATTATTATATGGTCTTATACATCAAGGTTATAAATGTAAAGCATGCGATATGAATGTACATAAAAAATGTCAAGATTTGGTATGTTTGTTTTTGTTTTTGGATTCGATTATCATTTTGTTTGTTGAAGTTAATTAGATTAATTATTTATTGATTTTTTGTTTGTTTGTTTATTTTTCAATAATAATAATAATAATAAATTAGGTACCAAATCTATGTGGCTGTGATCATACTGAACGTCGTGGTCGTATACAATTAAAAATCTATTCAAATGATGAACAGAATAAATTATTTTGTGAAATTAAACAAGCACGTAATCTAATACCAATGGATCCAAATGGTTTATCCGATCCATATGTAAAATGTAAACTAGTGCCTGATAATGGTCATGGTGTTAAAAGAAAAACACGTACAATAAAATCATCATTAAATCCTGAATGGAATGAAACACTTGTATTTGATCTTAAATCAGATGATAAAGATCGTCGTCTTTTAATTGAAATATGGGATTGGGATCGTACAACACGTAATGATTTTATGGGTGCATTATCATTTGGTGTTTCAGAATTATTAAAAAATCCGGCTGATGGTTGGTTTAAATTATTAACACAAGAAGAAGGTGAATATTATAATGTACCTGTACCGGCTGCCGGTGAAGATGTTCGTGTTTTATTAGATATGCGTCTTAGATCTGTTACATCTAATGTAACATCATGGCAAAAAAATGATAGTGATTCTGGTTTAGGTGATAATTTAAGTTATTGTTCAACATTAGATCATGTTACTGCTGCAATGAATAATCTTGGTCATCATCATCATAATCATCCATTACAATTTGATCAATCATCAATATTAACAAATTTACCACATAATATGAGTAAACAAGATGTGATACGTTCAACTGATTTTAATTATATTATGGTACTTGGAAAAGGTTCATTTGGTAAAGTAATGTTAGCCGAACGTAAAGGAACTGATGAATTATATGCAGTAAAAATATTAAAAAAAGATATTATCATACAGGATGATGATGTTGAATGTGCAATGGTTGAAAAACGTGTTTTAGCATTAGCAGATAAACCACCATTTCTTGTACAATTACATTCTTGTTTTCAAACAATGGATCGTCTTTATTTTGTTATGGAATATGTTAATGGTGGTGATCTAATGTTTCAAATACAACAATGTGGTAAATTTAAGGAACCAATTGCCGTATTTTATGCTGCCGAAATTGCTATTGGTTTATTTTTTTTACATTCAAGAGGTATTGTTTATCGTGATCTTAAACTAGATAATGTTTTATTAGATCAAGATGGTCATATAAAAATTGCCGATTTTGGTATGTGTAAAGAAAATATATTTGGTGATAAACGTACAAAAACATTCTGTGGTACACCGGATTATATAGCACCGGAAATTATACTTTATCAACCATATGGTAAATCGGTATGTATCTTTTCCCATTCTGTTTGTATATTTCAAATCAGTCATACTTTTCTATCTCTTTCACTTACACTATCCTTTCTACATTTTATTAATATGTTTGTATTAAAAAAAACCAACAAACAAACATTTATACAAATAAACAAATTTGATAGGAGAAAGAAAAATGATATATTTATGCCAACAAAAAATGTGTGAAAACAAATGAGATTCAAACATTTTTTTACAATTTAAAATTTGATATCTTCAGTGTTTCTTTTTTCTTTTGGTTGCCATTTTTCTTATATGTTTTATTTATTATTCATTCATTCCTTATGCTCTCACGAATGTGTGAGTACACCATGATGAACATCAATTTGCATACTTTTTTTTTGGGTGCATATTTTTCTTTTTCCTTTTTTTTTGTTTTGCCTATTATTGATGTTGAAACATCGTTTTTTTTGTTGTTGTTGTTGTTCTGGTTTCTGACATTTGATTATGATTCTGCTTGAACAATGTGGAAATAGAATAATTCATGTTTAGTTTTTTTTTGTAAATTTTTTGGTTTTGTTTTGGTGTACATTGTTTTAGTCATCAATTTTTGCTTTTTTTACTTTTTTCCATTATTGATTTTATTTATTTATTGATTTTGTTTTCCATCTATATTTTTCTCTTTATAGGTGGATTGGTGGGCATATGGTGTATTATTATATGAAATGCTTGTTGGACAACCACCATTCGATGGTGAAGATGAAGAAGAATTATTTGCTGCAATTACTGATCATAGTGTTTCATATCCAAAATCATTATCCAAAGAAGCAAAAGATATATGTCGTGCATTGTTAGTAAAAAATCCGGATAAACGTCTTGGTTGTTCATTGGAAACCGGTGAAGAAGATGTACGTTCACATCCATTTTTTCGTCGTATTGATTGGGATAAAATTGCTAAACGTGAAGTACAACCACCATTTAAACCTAAAATAAAACATCGTAAAGATGTTAGTAATTTTGATAAACAATTTACATCTGAACGTACCGATCTAACACCAACTGATCGTCTATTTATGATGAATTTAGATCAAACAGAATTTCTTGGTTTCAGTTATCTTAATCCGGAATTTATTCAACATGTATAAATTTGTTACAATTGTGTTTGTATCTTTTCGATAGAGGTTATCAGTCAAATGATAATATCCAGCCAGCCAAACAAAATTTTGGAAAAATGAAAATAAAGTTTTGGCTGAATAAAAATGTTGATACATTCGTACTGACGAAATTGGAATCTGCTGAAATTGAAAAAAAAAGATTCAAGAACGGAACGAAACAAAAAATAATAACGGAATTCATTTGAATTTATATTTTTCTCGTTTTTTTTTTACTTTTCCTATGTGTGTGTTTTTGTTTGTTTGTGTGCCGTTGATTGTTATTTGTTTGTTTTTTTCCAAAACATACCTTTTTTTTCATTTCCTAAATATTTTCTGGAATTTTTGTTTTCATTACTCACTCCTCCTAACAACAAAAACATTCAAATCAACCTGTATTTTTTTTTTGTCTGAATCAAAATTATTATTCAAAATGACCCACATTCATTTCACTTTGATTATGGCCAAAATAATGATATTTATCATCAATGAAACCGGAAACTACTGAATTCAAAAAAAAAACAAAACAGTCAATAATGACATTCATATAATGATGATAATAATGATGATGGCAACGGTAATGGCGAAGAAAAAAAAAAGAAAAGAATTCATTATGATCATAATTAATTTTTTTGCTTTTTTTTTCGTTTAATGATTCGAAACATTTCGTAGCGAATAGAAAAAAAGGAAAAGAAAATAAATAAACTCAACCAACCAACCAACTGAAAAAACAAAACAAAAAAACATCTTTCATTGAATAAACATTCCAAGAATTTTGAAGAATTTTTTTTCTTCCGAAAACATTCTCTCATGGCTCAATAAATTGGCTTCATGTTTTTTTCTTTGTTTGTTTCCACTTTCATAATTTCACTCAAGAATTCATTCACGAATAATAATAATAATAATAATAACAATAAAATTAATCCTGGCAACCCAAAATGATTATTTTCATTTATTGCACAAACAAAAAATGGCCATAATGAAATTCATGATTCGTTAAATAATTCATCATTTCAACTAATGAAAATGTCATTCTCCTATTCGGTTCGGTTCTGTTGTTGTATTGATTGACAATGGTTTCTGTTTCGAATGAATCATATACTTGTAATGTAAAAAAAAACCAGATTAAATTTGAAAATTTTTTGAATTCAATAAAAAAAAATCAAAATAAACACCATAATCATTTGAATAGAGGAAATTGATTTTTTTTTGATGGAAATCATTCGAACCTTTAGGCCATAATCATTATTTTTTGATATCATGAAATTTGCATCGAGAAAGAATCGAAATCAAAAAACATCAGAATATCATCATCAGATGATGACCATTATCGTAAATGATTCGAATGTTTTTCGAATGTTTTTTGTTATTGTGCTAACAAATATCATTTATAACTGATACTCAAAGAATTCGATAAAAGCAACCATTATTATCATTGCCATTGGCTATCTATTTATCAACAATATCGATATTTTCACATCAAGATCATTAAATCGATCATCATCAACATTATCATTCAAGAATTTTCTTTTCATCTGAGATCATCATCATCATCATCATCATTGCAATATTACTTCTTTATATTATCAAAACCACCCACCATTTCCCCAAAAAACAGCCCAATTTTAACTATTTTGAATTTTTTTTTTAATTTTTAAAAATACAAAAAAAAATCAAAATGAAAATCCGGTGCATCAAATTGTCTTCCGCACAGATTTAAAAAGAAAGAAAGATATAAATGTGACATTTGAATGATTTATATAAATATAATTTCAACAACAACAAAAAAAAATTGTAAAAATTGAATTAATCAACGAAAATGATAAATGAATGAATAAAAATGTTGTTGAAATATGATAGAAATATCACTTTAATTTTCTTTTTAAAAAATTAATACAAATAAGCTTCATGTTTGGGGACTATGTATGTGCTGGAGATGATGATGATATCGACAAATATTTACCATCACCACCATCATTATCATCAATCTTATTTGATGAATCATCTTTTGTTATCGAAAGTTTGGCCAATTTTCGATTTGATCGCCGAACATTATTCTGATTATTAGTCATATTGCTATTACGTCGTTGTAATGTCATCAACATTGTTTGCTGTTGTCGGCCCATCATTGTTAAACGATTTCGTAATAACTTTTCCGTTTCCTTTTGTTTATCCTGTTGTTTTTGTCGTTCAAAATCTTGAATTATTTCGAATATCTGTAAAGATAGTTGGCAACCTTTTTGTATCTGATCATTCATCATTGTTAAACTTGGTAGATGATATGCTTTTGTTGTTTCTTTTGGTATTTGTTGATCATTCGAAATGGAAAAATTTCTTTCAATCAATTTGGAAACATTTAAAAATTGACGAATTAAACTATCACTATTTTCCGCCAGATTTTGTCGTATGAAACGTAATCGTTCGCGAATGATTGTAAATTTTGGTGATTGCTGTTCAAGAATTTTCCGTACACAATGTCCACGCCACCAACTCTAAATGAAATGGTTTAAAACAATTATTTTTAAAATATTTCGAAATTTTTAATACCTGTATATTTGTAGCACATTGTTCACGTTTCCTTTGTATTCTGGTGGGCGCTTTCTTTTCTTTTGGTAATCTCATCAAGTTTGATGCCGGTTTGGATGGTACATATAATTGATCATGTTTAAATCTATTTCGTCGACTGTTGAACCAATTCTACAATAAAAAAATTTCAATTGGTATATGATAAAAATTAAATAAATCAATAACTTACTCGTATCCTTTGTTCGGTTGTTTCTAATTTTTTTGCCAAATCTCTACGTCGTTCATAATCTAACCATGGATTTTCATGAAATGTTCGTTCCAAAAATTCAATTTGTTCATCATTGAACGCCATCTGTTTGCTACGATTACGATATTGTCGTCCTTTTTTTCGAAAATTTTCAATCAATTCTTTATTATCACTATGTTGTTGACACCATTTTTTTCTTCGTCCATGGAACCATTCCTGTGTTTAAATTTCAAAATTATTTTTAAAACATTTAAAATTGAAAACTTTTAAAGAAAAATTTTCTTACATTGATTTTCGGTGGAGCTAGATTTAATTTTTCAACCAATTCGTTCATTTTATCCGCTGTTAAATATGGATTTTCATTGAAATATTCTTCCAGAATGGTTAATTGTGTTTGTGTGAATTTTGTTCGTTCACCACGTATTCGATCCAATGATGGTCGTGGTTGTCCAAGTTCTTGTTCACGATTGGCAGCCAAATGTACTAGAAGAATTGCCCAAAAACAAAAATTTTATCATCAAATAGAAAAAAATTTAAACACTTTAAATTTACATACAATACCATTCATTCAATGCAACAAGTTCATCATGTCGTTGCTGTCGCGGTAATTCTAACCATTTTTTCAACAGTAAATATGATTGCATTTTTTCCGAATATTGTTTCGGGTGCTTTAACATCTCAGACCATGGTCTTGGTTTCCGTAATAGATTGAACATTTTTGTCGATCCACAATGTAATACATGACGGCCGAATAATTGCCGTTGAATATTCATCGTTTCCAATTCTTTATTCACTTGTTCGGCAATTTCAATTGTATCAATATCGATTGCTTCATTTAGTTCTTGTTCGGTAACCATTAAAATTGTAGACGTTGGTGGTATCATCGAACCAGTTTGTTCAGGTTTTGTAAAATCAACATTCGAATTAATCACATTATCATCAAAGGAATTTTGATTTTGGTCAACATCTATTTGTCCTTCGACAACATATGGTGGTGTTTGAAGCTTAAATTATTGCAGATAAAATTATCTATTAATCATACGAATAAAAATTCAACATTTTTGAATATTACCGGTGAAAATTTTGCATCAACATTATTGCCAAAAATTTCCGCAACAGTTGATTGATGATCAGCTCCAGATGGATAATAACGATTTGAACGTAAATTCATGATTGTCAATTATTTGATTTAAATTTTTATTAGAAGAGAAATTATTCATTAAAATTTTATAATCGCGATAAGAAATTTTTCTTTTCAAACATTGAATTCAAATCTAAATCGAGTTTTGTTTTGATAGTTCCAAATGCATGTGTAAAGGTTGTTGTAGTAGCATAGAAAACAATTCTAAATTTCAATGAAACGACCACTACTATTACAATGATTTTAATGCCGTTCATATAGTATATATCTGGATCGGATCTCGAATATTATTCCGTTCAAATTTCAAAAAAAAAAATAATAATTTTTACAATTTTTTTGTTCAAACACAACAAAATAAAAACATTTTTTTATTAATTCTGTAATTATATCATTTTATATAAATTGAGACATTATAATAGAAAAAAATTCTGATTATCAGAATATACTTGTTCAAGTGATGCTAGACAACAATAAAATGGTATTTTTTGAAAAAATTTCAACATTCTAGTATATCAACAAGTATATCCAAAACATAAATGAAGATGAGATATATTGTCCAATCGACGGAAATTTTCTGGAAAAAATCAGATAAATTTAAAATCAGAACAATTTATTAACAGGAAACTTTACCATTAAAAAGGTGAGAAAATTTTTCAGTCGATTTGACCAAAACAATCATTATTCGATTATCTTGCCAATATGATTTGATGATGATTGAAACAGAAGATTAAAGTTTACCAACGAAAAAATAGAATATACGATGCTTGATGAAAGCAAAATATTATCGAAATAGCAGAACAAAATTGTAAACGAAAAACAAAGAGAATAAATAATAAAATGAAATCAATCCAAATGTTTGCGTCTTTTTATAACGCCAACGATCCAACCACTGAATCCTAATGTAAATAAATTCAACATTGCTTTCCATGTTAGATTACGTTTGATAAACATTTTGAAACGGGCCATCATTTTTTGAAATAATAAACGTGTTTGAGCAACTAACCAATACCATGACCTACGTGGAAATGTTATCGTTTGTATTGTATAGAACACTGATCGTGTCCAAACATAATAACAACTACCAACGAAAATGTTTGTCGTTGTTTCGGTTGTTTCAACAATACGTTCAATTGCTGATGCTGTAATATGTGCCGATTTAACTACACTAACACCAACATGATTTACATCTTCCAATTGTCTGGTAACATTGATAACAGCCTGTCCGGCAATAATTTTTGCACCAATTGTTAATGCAAATGTATTGACTATAATAAACAATATACATAAATGTCTTATAAATGCAAATGTTTGTATACGTAATAGACAATCACAAATAAATGCAATAACAGCCAATGCTAAACAAATGGTAAATATATCGATCAATGCCGTTACAATGGCCGTTAAACCACGTTCACGAACTTGACGATATTTGTCACGATTTTTAATCAAATCATTTTCATCATAATTTTCAATATTATTATTATTATTGAATTCATCATCAATATTTTCAACATTATTCGATGATTGTGAAGAAGAAGAAGAAGATCTTTGATTGGAAAATATTGATGAACGCCATATTATCCATAATAAATTCAATGCATGTCCAGCATTATATAATGGACCCAATAATGGTACAAAATCAATGAATATAATTAAACGTTGATAATATTTTTCCCAATCCGACAATAATTGTGGTCCATATTGTATTAATTGTTGTGACCAAGATAATTCGGACATTATCTAATTACAATGATCAATTGTTTAATTGAGGAAAGAAAAACGAGAACAAACAACACTTGAAATGATGAAAATTCAAAAAAATAAAAATAAAAATAAAAACGAAACACCAAACAAAACAAAAAAAATGGATGAAATTTTTTCTTTGTCGTAATAAAAACGAAATTTTTTTTTCTTATTCGAGAATAAAATCAATCAAACAAACATCCAAATCATATAAATGTGTCATTATTTATCAATCAAATAACCGAATAATAATGATGATAATGATTTTTTTTGATTGAACAATCAATAATGATTTGATTGTAAGCAAATTATCAACAGAAATATTTTCTTCTTACTATTTTTTTTTCTTCTAAAAAAAACATTTCAATATGTTTTGTTTGTTTGTTTGTTTGTTTGAATATTATTTTGTTTGGCCAAATCAAATAAACATATAGCATTATACGCGCGTATCGATTGATTGATTGATTGATTTTTTTTTTCTCATTTGGTCATAATTTTAACCAAATATCATTAATGTTGATGAACATGACTACGTTGTTTCTTTTTTTGGTTGGTTGGTGATTGGTTTGTTTGGACCAAAAAAAATGTATTTTTTTTACATAAATAACCAATGATATTATCCTTAACATTATTTATCATATTGTCATTGAAAGATAATATTTTTTGAATGAATTTACTGACAACAACATCAAATGTTGTATTTCGTTTGTTTTTTCTTCTGCTGACATAAACTTTAGACATTGATCAATTATAAATATGAATATATTTTACCATTTATCGATTTTTTTTCCTAAAAATTGATTGATTGACATGAATACACAATAAATCAATCAATTAATCATACTCCCACACACACACACACACACACATATGTATGATATCTACTTGTAGAAACATTTGATTTTGAAAACATAAGTTTTTTAGTTTATTATTAGATAAAAATACATTTAGATAAAATTGATTTTGAAAAAAATCAATAGTTTTGATTGAATAAGCTAGGTCCATTAGATGATATATTTGAAATTTAATTATAGAAATTCTTTATGAATAAATATCGTTTTGTTTCATTATTGCATGCATTTTTTTATTGATAAAGTAGGGAAAAGATATCCTTGATTAATGTGCAATCAATCAAATGTAAGATTCTGTTATTCAATAGAACAATCATTTTCGTCGTTCAACTTTTAGAAAGATATCACGCGGTGAAAGAAGGCCACCTTGATTATAAAATTCGACTGGAATCTAATCAAAAGAAAAAAGTAAAAAGTAAAATAAAAGATTTGTTTGAAACAGCAATCCAACCACTTACTTTAGTTTTGGCACATTTATCGAATTTGAAATTTTTTATCAACCAAATCAATGCTAATTTAGCCTCCATTAAAGCTAAACTTTTTGCTACACAGGCTCTTGGTCCAGCTCCGAATGGTAGATATGCATAATTTGGATGTTTATTGCCTGAATCTCGAATAAATCGTTCCGGAATAAATTTTTCCGGTTCCGGAAAATATTCTTCATCATAATGTAGGCAATAAATTGGAATTTGTATGATATCACCTTTTTGAATCGTAATTGAATAACGGCCATCTTCAGTCGTAAGTACAGTATCATTCACGCAACTTCGTTCGGTAAATGATCCCGGTGGTATTAAACGCAATGTTTCATCGATCACTGCATTAACATATCCAAATTTTGAACCAATATTTTCAAATGATAATGATTGTAATGGATCTTGATTTTCATTGATTTCGTTTTCAGAAATGATACGGTTAACTTCTTCATAACATACTTGTTGCTTATCCGGATTCAATGCTAAATAATATAATGCCATTGTAATAGTTGTTGCCGTAGTTTCATAACCGGCCAAAAAGAAAAGAACACATTGGGCAATAATTTCATCATTATTCATATATTTGATTGTTTTTTCATTATTATTAATTTTTTGTTGTTGATTTTCTAATTCATGTTCTGCTTCAAGCAAAAATTCAATAAAAGTAGAAGCTTTGGAAAAATCTTTCTGTGCAAATTCTATGCGTTTACGTTCGATTAATTCGCTTGTGAATTTACCGAAAAAATTCATTTCATCACCATTTAATCGTATTTTGAATAATTTTGAAAAAAATGGTGGAAAAAAATATATGAATGACATTTCCAAAATGCTTTTCAATGATAAATCTGCATTGAATAGCTTACGTGCTGTAATAACAAGTTGATGATTCGGTTCGATTATTGAATCGATTTTACAACCAAACGCAACCTGAAGTATAGTGTCCATCGTATAGGCACCGGTAAATCGTTTTATGCTTAAGATATTATCATGGGAATTGGCCAATTCATTATCGATATTCTTGATTAATGTCTGACAAATTGATTCCATACATGGTTTCATTCGACGAAGTTTTCCAGTTGCAAATGTTGGCGCTACGATTGCACGAAAACGTTTCCATTTATCTAAGTCGACTACGGTTAAAAAGTTTGAAAACATTGGATCATCTGAATTGAATTTCTATTTGAAATAAATGAAAATATTGAAAAATGGCTTTGTTTTAGGCTAACAATTCTCACCCGTCGATTAGGAAAATTGATAAACTCTTTGCTCATTATTAATTGAATTAATTCAGGTTCGGCAATAGTAACATTGATTCCACCAAACATTTCCCATCCATAAACTTTACCAATTTTCTGTATGTTTTTCTGTGATATCAATTCAATACGTGTTTTGTTCCATAAAGCGCTAAAAAAAGATGGTTGTTCAGCAATTGGAATGTTACGACTTTGTAGATTTGCAATTGCCGATTTGGATCGATTTCTTAAATAAAGATAAATTGATGTGAATATCAAAATGATGGCAGTTAACAAGAATATCCCAAACATTTTTCTGAAAATAAAGTTTTGGCAGTATTTAAACAACAACAAACAAAATAAAATATCAATGATATCAAAATCATTGATCAATGACAACTATTTATATCGAAATGATTTGCACCATTGGCATCAAAGATTGATTAAATTAAATTAAGGAAACAGTAGTGTTAAAAATGATTGATAAAAGATTTTTTCGTATTCATTTTACCTAAAAATAACTAGTACTTTTCTGTTAAACGGGCGTAAGTGAAAATTCAACCCTTTCCGCTCGAACAACTACTCTCACTCAACAATTTGTTTTAACCAAATTCGCTAGTTTCTTGTCCGCAAAGAATATTCGAGTTTTTTTCAATAGATAGGTATATTGATGAAAACCAGTAATTATAAGCATTCTTTTCGAAAAAAATTGTTTTGCTTACAATTCATTAATATTTGTTTATCGTTTAACGATGAAGTAAGTATCAAATGACATTTTATTCATTGATTAATGTATTATTGAAATTTGAAATTGGATATTTTGATTGTTTGTGTAGGATAAATTTTAAAATAATAATCTTTATTATTGAAAAAATCAATTGATTTCTTGTCCTTCGGTCACACTTTTTGATGCTAACGACAATCAAATTGCGAACATCATACGAATTCAAGATTAGCAATTTCAACTGGTTTTGGTTAAAATTTTATTGGGGTAGATTATTTAAAAAGTTTTGCTTGTTCCACATTATTTCAAACGAACGTAGAAAAGTAGTTGAAACAGATCCAGCACTTTGTTTGTTCATTTTATCTTCGTACGAATAAACTTTAGACATTGATCAATTGTAAAATTTTAATTGCAAGTGAAATTCAACTTATGATACAATTTTTGAATCGAAAACATAAGTTACTTATTAATTATTTGATAAATCAATTTGGATAAAATTAACACAAGTAAAATCAATAGTTTTAATCTGATTTGATTGTTCTGTTTTGATATCGTTCCAAGAACCATCAGTTTCGTCGTTCAACTTTTAGAAAGATATCACGTGGTGAAAGAAGGCCACCTTGATTATAAAATTCGACGGGAATCTAATCAAAGAAAAAGAAAAAAGTAAAATAAATGATTTTTTTAACTAATATCATCTATCCACTTACTTTAGTTTTGGCACATTTATCGAATTTGAAATTTTTAATCAACCAAATCAATGCCAATTTAGCCTCCATTAATGCTAAACTTTTAGCTACACAAGCTCGTGGTCCTGCTCCAAATGGTAGATATGCATAGTTTGGATGCTGATTGCCAGAATCGCGAATAAATCGTTCCGGAATAAATTTTTCCGGTTCTGGAAAATATTCCTCATCATGATGTAGACTCCAGATTGGAATTTGTATGACATCATCTTTTTTAATTGAAACTGAATAACTGCCATCTTCAGTCGTAAGTACAGTATCATTTACACAACGTCGATCAGTAAATGGCCCCGGTGGTGTTAAACGTAAAGTTTCATCGATCACTGCATTAACATATTCAAATTTTGAACCAATATTTTCAAATGATAACAATAATAAAGGATCTTTATTCTCATCGATTTGATTTTCAGAACTGACACGATTTACTTCTTCATAACATATCTGTTGCTTATCTGGATTCAATGCAAGATTATATAAAGCCATGGCAATAGTTGTCGAAGTAGTATCATAACCGGCAAAAAAGAAAAGTACACATTGGGCAATAATTTCATCATTACTCATATATTTGATCGGTTTTTCATTATTATCGATTTTTTGTTGTTGATTTTCTAATTCATGTTCTGCTTCAAGTAAAAATTCAATAAAAGTTGAAGCTTTTGAAAAATCTTTTTGTGCAAATTCTATTCGTTTGCGTTCGATTAAATCGCTGGCAAATTTACTGACAAAATCAATTTCATCGCTATTCAATCGTATTTTGAATAACTTTGAAAAAAATGCTGGGAAAAAGAAGAGGACAGTCATTGATAAAATGTTTTTCAATGATAAATCTGTATTGAATAGCCTACGTGCCATTATAATAAGTTGATTATTCGGTTCGATTATTGAATCTATTTTACAACCGAACGCTACCTGTAAAACAGTGTCCATTGTATAGGCACCGGTAAATCGTTTTATGTTCAAGATATTATCATGCGAATTGGTCAATTCATTATCAATATTCTTGATTAATGTCTGACAAATTGTATCCATGCATGGTTTCATTCGACGAAGTTTTCCAGTTGCAAATGTAGGTGCTACGACTGCTCGAATGCGCTTCCATTTATCGAATTCAACTAAAGTTAAAAAGTTTGAAAACATTGGATCGTCAGAATTGAATTTCTATTGGAAATGAATGATAATTTCAAAAAATGATTTTGAATTTTGCTAAAAATTCTTACCCGACGACTAGGAAAATTTGTAAACTCTTTACTCATTATTAATTGAATTAATTCAGGTTCAGCAATAGTCAAATTGATTCCACCAAACATTTCAAATCCATAAACTTTACCAATTTTTTGTATATTTTTTTGTAATACCAATTCAATACGTGTTTTATTCCATAAAGCACTTAAAAAATATGGTTGTTCACCAATAGGAATGTTTCGACTTTGTAGGTTAGCAATTGCCAACTTTGATCGATGTCGACCATAGAGATAAATTGATGCTAATATCAAAATGATGGCAGTTAAAAAGAATATTCCCAACATGTTTGAAGTTCTGGCAGTATGAAAATTACAACAATAAACAAAATAAAATATCAATCATTGATCAATGCTAACTATTTATATGGAAATGTTTTTTATCAATGACATTGGACATTGAACATTGAATGATTTTTTCAATGTACAAAATAAAAAATAGCCAAAATCGTGATATAAAAATAACTTAACTCTTTATTTGCGAATGAATATCGAATGTAAACAATAAAAAGGTCGATAACGACAATTCGATATGTTGAAATTGATTAAATTAAAATAGGAAGTTGATGATGATTGAAAATGATTGATAAAAGTTTTCTTCATAATAATTTCACTTGAAAATAACGGGTACTTTTGTTCGAAACTTAAAAAATTAACCCTTTCACTAATTCAATCAATCGATAATACTTCAACAGGCAAAGTATTTCTACTTGCAAAACATTTGCCATCATAAGCTTTTATCCATCAAATCATATATTCGGAATAAAACAACAAATTCAAATATGTTATCAATTTATAAAATTAGAATAACAAACAAAATATACAAATTCTTTATGAATAAATATTGTTTTGTTTTAGTATTATAAATTTAACATTGATAAAATTTAAAAAAGAAGAAGATATTCTCGATTTATGTGCAATCAATCAGATGTAGGATTTGGTTATTCAATAGAACCATCAGTTTCGTCGTTCAACTTTTAGAAAGATATCACGTGGTGAAAGAAGGCCACCTTGATTATAAAATTCGACTGGAATCTAATCAAAAGAAAAAAGTTAAAAGTTAAATAAAAGATTTGTTTGAAACTACCATCCAACCACTTACTGAAGTTTTAGCACATTTATCGAATTTGAAATTTTTAATCAACCAAATCAATGCTAATTTAGCTTCCATCAATGCTAAACTTTTGGCTACACAGGCTCGTGGTCCAGATCCGAATGGTAGATATGCATAGTTTGGATGTTTATTAACAGAATCTCTACTAAATCGTTCGGGAATAAATTTTTCAGGTTCAGGAAAATATTCTTCATTATAATGCAGACAATAAATTGGAATCTGTATGATATCATCTTTTTGAATCGAAACCGAACAACGACCATCTTCAGTCGTAAGTATAGAATCATTTACGCAACGTCGTTCAGTAAATGGTGCCGGTGGTGTTATACGCAATGTTTCATTAATCACTGCATTAACATATTCGAATTTTGAACCAATATTTTCAAATGATAATGATTGTAAAGGATCTTTATTCTCATCGATTTGATTTTCTGAAATGATACGGTTAACTTCTTCATAACATATTTGTTGCTTATCCGGATTCAATGCTAAATAATATAAAGCCATTGTAATTGTTGTTGCTGTAGTATCATAACCAGCCAAAAAGAAAAGAACACATTGGGCAATAATTTCATCATTATTCATGTATTTTATCGGTTTTTCAATGTTATCAATTTTTTGTTGTTGTTTTTGCAATTCATGTTCAGCTTCAAGCAAAAATTCAATAAAAGTTGAAGCTTTGGAGAAATCTTTTTGTGCAAATTCTTTGCGTTTACGTTCGATTAAATCGATAGAAAATTTACCGAAAAAATCCATTACATCGCTATTTAATCGTATTTTAAATATTTTTGAAAAAAATGGTGGCAAAAAGAACAATACTATCATTGCCATGATGTTTTTCAACGATAAATCTGTATTGAAAAGCCTACGTGCCATAATAATAAGTTGATTATTCGGTTCAATTAATGAATCGATTTTACAACCGAAAGCTACCTGAAGAACAGTATCCATTGTATAGGCACCGGTAAATCGTTTTATGTTCAAGATATTATCGTGCGAATTGGTCAATTCATTATCGAAATTCTTGATTAATGTCTGACAAATTGAATCCATACATGGTTTCATTTTACGAAGTTTTCCAGTGGCAAATGTAGGTGCTACGATTGCTCGAATACGTTTCCATTTATCTAATTCAACCGTGGATAAAAAGTTCGAAAACATTGGATCATCTGAATTGAATTTCTATCGGAAATAAATGATAATTTTAAAAAATCATTTTTCTTTTCGTTAATTATTCTCACCCGTCGATTTGGAAAATTGGTAAACTCTTTGCTCATTATTAATTGAATTAATTCTGGTTCGGCAATAGTCAAATTGATTCCACCAAACATTTCCCATCCATAAACTTTACCAATTTTTTGTATGTTTTTTTGTGATACCAATTCGATACGTGTTTTGTTCCATAAAGCGCTGAAAAATGATGGTTGCTCTCCAATAGGAATGTTTCGACTTTGTAGGTTTGCAATTGCCAATTTGGATCGATGTCGAAAATACAGATAAATCGATGTGAATGTCAAAACAATGACAGTCAACAAGAATATTCCTAACATTTTCTTGAAATTTAAATTCTGACTATTAAAAAAAACAACAACAAACAAAATAAAATGCAAATGAAATAATAATCATTTATTAATGCCAACTATTTAAATGGAAATGATTTGCATCATTGACATTGAATAATATCTCAACACCATAGTTGCAATCACCAACCAATCACTTATTAAGACATTGTATAAAATGATATATGTTGTTATTGATTAAATTAAAATAGGAGGTAGTGGTGATGAAAATGATGGACGAAAAAAAAAATCCCTCATTTTACGTAAAAATAACGTTTTAATCGTTGATTATTTTCATTGTGATTAGAAATTGTATATTTAAATTGTTTGTCAAGGACAAATTTTCAAGTTGATTTTTATCATTACATATCATTATGGTCATTTTCAAAGCAATTTCGCATAAACAACATTGATACTGTAATCGAACCAGTAATATTTCTAACATCATCATATACTAAAAATGATGCAAAATTGGCAATTTTTGCAACTCACAATCTTTTCGTTTTAGGCAAACAATGATATTTTATTCGATAATAATCAATTTTATTGGAAATAGTTGGTTTTGATCATTTGTCCTTGACAGATTTTCAATTGTATTTTTATAATTAACAATTAATCAGCTTATTTTTTCTTAATTTCATCCAATTTTTTAAAATCAACTCTAGGTGCCAACAATGATCCAGTATCATTAACAACAATAGAACCAGTCATATTGCGAGCATCATCTGATGCCAAAAATGATGCAAGATTAGCAATTTCAACTGGTTGTGCTACAAATTTCAAAAGAGTAAGTTCTTTGACAAATTCTTCGTTTTCCTTTAAAAATGTAACCGGCATTCCGAGTGAACGCATAAATTGAGTTGCCACAGGTCCAGGACTAGAATTTTTGTTTGATAAAGTAGAAAATTATATTTGAGAATTATAATATAAGGAATTGTGATGGCGAATAATATTTTACATACTTGATTGAATTGACTCGAACACCTTTTTTACCGAATTCTATTGCCATTGTTTTGGTGATCATATCCAATGCTGCTTTTGATGAACTATAAATTATATGTACCTTTAAAAAATTGATGGAATTGTTAATATTTATTTTTAGAAATTAATCAATTAAAAATCTTACCGGAACCAAAGATGCAACACTTGAAATATTGATGATATTACCTTTAGATTTTTCTAAATGTGTTGCTGCTAATTGACTTAATTGAACAACAGTACGAACATTTAATCCATAAACTTGATCAAACGCTTCCATCAACTTTTCATCATGAATATCTCTATGTGGTGTAGAAAAACCAGCATTGTTTACAAGAAAATCTAATCGACCATATTTGGATATAGTTCCATCGATCAATTTAGCCGGTAATGATTGATCAAGAAGATTGCCAACAATTTGCAATGGTTGATGACCAGTTTCAGCTTCAATTTGTTTGGCTACTGATTCTAAAGCGGCTGCATCACGACCAGTGATTGTAACTTGAGCACCATATTGTGCAAATTGTAAGGCAATTGCNCCTGTAACAAGAGCAACTTTACCACTGAAATCATATTTTTTTCCACTTGATGAAGACATATTTTTTTTTGTTTAGATGATGATTTTACTAATAAAAACAATTAGATTGGTTATTTTATAGACAAAAAAATTTCTTTCTATTTATATGTTTTTATGTTGGAAGAAAATATCACAATGAAAATCAACTCTTATCAATGCACTATGGCAATCTAATCAATATGAATTTGGATTGCTATCCTGAGTATATTTACAGAACATTTTAAAAAGTGCATTGTTTAGAATGATGATAATAATGATAATGATAATTGTTTTCAAGTAGATGTTAAAATTCTTTACATCGAAAAAAATTAGACATTACAAAATTGGCAAAACTTATAAATATAAAATTGAACAAAATTAACATATTTTAAACTTTTAATGTTAAATGAAAAAATGATTCACTAAAAATTCATGCTTTTGCATAACTATTTTACGTAAAGTTAACGTTATTATACATTGATTATCATTATTATGATTAGAAATAACATGTTTTAATTGTTTGTGAAGGACAAATTTTCAAGTGATAATTTTTATCAATTTATTTATTGTTTGGCGGTTACACTGGTATTTTTGGTCCCAACATAGCTCCAGTATCGCTAACGACAATCGAACCAGTCATATTGCGAGCATCATCCGATGCTAAAAATGATGCAAGATTAGCAATTTGAACAGGTTCTGGTACGAATTTTAATAGAGTAAATTCTTTAAAACGTTCTGCTTCTTTCACATAACTTTCAGCCGTCATTCCTATCGAACGTAAAAAACCAGTAGAAACAGGTCCAGGACTAGAATATTATTTGATAAAGCGAAAAATTATATTTCCGTATAATAATGAATATATTTTACATACTTGATTGAATTGACTCGAACACCTTTTTTACCAAATTCTAATGCCATTGTTTTGGTGATCATATCCAATGCTGCTTTTGATGAACTATAAATAATTTGATACTTGATACAAATAATAAAATCATTAATATTCAATATTCAAAAATAAAAGCAAAATCTTACCGGAATTATAGATGCAATACTTGAAATATTGATGATATTACCTTTGGATTTTTCTAAATGTGTTGCTGCTAATTGACTTAATTGAATAACAGCACGAACATTTAGTCCATAAACTTGATCAAAAGCTTCCATCAATTTTTCATCATGAATATCTTTATGTGGTGTAGAAAAACCAGCATTGTTTACAAGAAAATCTAATCGACCATATTTGGATATAGTTCCATCGATCAATTTAGCCGGTAATGATTGATCAAGAAGATTGCCAACAATTTGCAATGGTTGATGACCAGTTTCAGCTTCAATTTGTTTGGCTACTGATTCTAAAGCGGCTGCATCACGACCAGTGATTGTAACTTGAGCACCATATTGTGCAAATTGTAAGGCAATTGCGGCACCAATACCCGAACTTGATCCTGTAACAAGAGCAACTTTACCACTGAAATCATATTTTTTTCCACTTGTTGAAGACATTTTTGTTGTGTTTAATTGATGATTTTACCGATAGATTTTAGATTGGTTATATGAAAGTAATCAAATTATCTTCCTATTTATATGTTGTTATGTGGGAATAAAATGACAAAATAAAAACTCTTATCATTACGCTATGGCAATCAAATCAAAAAGACCTTGGTTTGTTCTATTAGTAAGTACAGTGCATTTTTTGAATAATAATAATAATGATAATTGTTTTCAAGTAGATGTTCAAATTTATTGAAAAAAGCTAGACATTGAAAAATTAGCAAAAATTCTATAATAGAATATAAAATTGAACAAACATATTTTTAAACTTTGATTGATAAAAATTAATGCTTTTGCATATTTATTTTACGTAAAAATAATTATTCATTGATTATCATTATTATGATTAGAAATAACATGTTTTAATTGTTTGTAAAGAACAAATTTTCAGGTAATAATTTTTATAATAAAAAATCAATTTTTTTATTGTTTGGCTGTCACACTTGTATTTTTGGTCTCAACATCGTTCCAGTATCTCTAACAACAATCGAATCAGTCATATTGTGACCATCATCAGATGCTGAAAATGGTGCAAGATTTGCAATTTACGAAACTCAAATATTCATTTTAGACAATAAGCATTTTTATTGGAAATAGTTGGTTTTAATTATTTGTCCATGACAGATTTTCAATTGTATTTTTATAATTAACAATTAATTATTTTGTTTTTTCTTCAGTTCATTTAATTTTTTAAAATCAACTTTAGGTGCCAACATTGATCCAGTATCGCTAACAACAATCGAACCGGTTATATTTCGAGCATCATCCGATGCTAAAAATGATGCAAGATTTGCGATATCATCTGGTTGTGCTACAAATTTCAAAAGCGTAAGTTCTTTAGTAAATTCTTCGTTTTCCGAAAAAAATGCAGCCGACATCCCGACTGAACGCATAAATTGAGTTGATACAGGTCCAGGGCTAAAATTTCATTTGATTAAACGAAAAATTATATTTCCGAATAATATTGAAAATGTTTCACATACTTGATTGAATTGACTCGAACACCTTTTTTACCAAATTCCATTGCCATTGTTTTGGTGATCATATCCAATGCTGCTTTAGATGAACTATAAATTATATGTAACTTTTAAAAAAACATGAAATTATTATATTCATTTCAAGAAATTAAAAATCTTACTGGAATCAAGGATGCACAACTGGAAATATTGATAATATTGCCTTTTGATTTTTCCAAATGTGTTGCTGCTAATTGACTTAATTGAACAACAGCACGAACATTAATTCCATAAACTTGATCAAAAGCTTCCATTAATTTTTCATCATGAATATCTTTATGTGGTGTAGAAAAACCAGCATTGTTTATAAGAAAATCTAATCGACCATATTTGGAAATTGTTCCATCGATCAATTTAGCCGGCAATGATTGATCAAGAAGATTGCCAACAATCTGTAATGGTTGATGACTAGTTTCAGCTTCAATTCGTTTGGCTACAGATTCTAAAGCGGCTGCATCACGACCAGTGATTGTAACTTGAGCACCATATTGTGCAAATTG